CCGTATAGATATGTTCGTCTCACTTAGACGAGTCCATAGGATCAAACCCAAAGTGATTTGGTTGGGTCTAGGCCGAAATCTTAGGGTTTGAAGTTGAACGGTTCTCAAGTTAGGCTGATCAAGGACGATGAACATATGCCATTCATTTTTGGCGTGTCTCAGTTGGACAGTCCAGATCGTGTCGAATGAGAAGATGAAGCAAGAACCAAGGGCTGACGAGGCGTTGAGATGGATAGAGGCATCAATTGATAAAGGAGCTTGGAGCAAGCTGAAGCAGATAGAGGACAACATTCTACAACAGCAAACAGGATCGTCGACAACAAACCTTTCCTTAGAATTAAATAACAAGTCATAGGACTTTGAGATAGCTCGTCTAGTACGACATAAATCCTTAAGTTATCTTTACGTCTTTGCACAATCATGTTGTTCATTTAAGTCCTAACTCGCTTTAGGCTCTGAGGTTGTCGTTCATTACGACATAAACCCTCTTATCTTCCAAGCTATTTGTATGACTGTGTCATGCAGGTGTAAGCCCTAAATAATAAAATTGGCAAGATGAAACATCTAATATATTTCCTCGAAATTGAAGCTAAACCATAGGATAACTTTGGAAGTCACTGAGGAACCTCAAGATCTATGACATCCTCTAGTTTTCTCCCTTTGAATTATATAATAAATGTTCCAAACTTGATATTTTCCCATTTGATAGTCCTTTATCTGACCTTGAAAGGCCTAAACTTTGAAATTCTTGAAGAAAATATTTTCTGATCATCATTGCGAGTTTTCTTGAGTGAACTTGAACATTTAAGATGTATTTAACTATAAGGGCTTGCCCTTATAAGAAACTTTAGAACCCAGTTTAATATAAACCTTATCAAATACTTCATATCAGGTAGGGGAAATTTGTCGGTCAATATAAAAGTTTTGCAGACTAAAACATGTCATAAATTCTTTAGTTTTTTTAATCGAGTCTTACTGTCAAGCAATGTGTCTATTTCTTGGGATATGTACGCCACTTGCAATATTGTGCTTGTCTTTAAACTATTGCATATATGGGATAAGTTTGGTCTCATATTTCAAAAATTAAAATATTATTTTCCAAAATATATATTTCATATATATTGAATTAAATATATTTTCCCATGTCGGCGACCGACAAATGTG